AGGAGTGGGGTATGGACTGTGCAGGAGCTGCCCCGGGAGGGGTCATGGGCAGGCCAGGGTCCAGTTTAGAGAAGAGGAGGTTCCTGCTCAGCTGAATCAAGCTCTGGTCACGGTCCCGCTACCTTGTAGCTGGCAGAGCTCCCTCATCCTATTCTCAGTGCCCTGCTCCCCTCATCTCCTTGTCTGCCCAGCAGGTCCTTGCGTGGCAGCCCCAGAGCCCCCGCACCCAGCCAGCTGTTTGCTGGCTCTGTGTAGCTTGTTGTGCCCGGGGCCCCTGCACTGCCAACTCAGGCAGCTCCTTCGCCCTGCCCTACCAGGGTCCCTAGCTGGGGCTCTCAGGGAAGCCTGTTGCCTCCCTGTGGGGGTGGCCAGGTGTTGCCCCATGTCTTACACCCCGGCTGCATCCTCCCTAGCGCTGGAGCGGCCCTGAGAAGCTGCTGGCACTGGACGAGCTCATTGACCGTTGCGAGCCCTCCCAGATCAAGTACATGATGCAGGTCATCGAGCCCCAGTTCCAACGGGACTTCATTTCTCTGCTGCCCAAGGAGGTGAGCAGCATTGTGGGGGGGATGGGATGGCCCTCAGCCAGAGGTCCTAGGGCCGTTGCAGCCCCCTGACTCCCCTCTCCTGCAGCTGGCACTGTACGTCCTGTCGTTTCTGGAGCCCCGGGACCTGCTCCGTGCCGCCCAGACCTGTCGCTACTGGCGTGTCCTGGCTGAGGACAACCTGCTGTGGAGGGAAAAGTGCCGTGAGGAAGGTAAAGCTCTCCCCTGTCTTTTATGATCACAGAGAAGTGGGGGCAACCCCAGGCATTGCCCCTGCCCCAGGGAAAGCAAGGGGGCTACAGCTACCAATGTCCTGCTGCAAAGGGTGTTGAAGTATGCTCCGAGAGACTCCTGGCAGAGATTGTGCTTCTGCTGCAGAGGAAGGCAAACTCATCTAGTCTATACCACTCTGATCAAGGGGAAGTCCCTTCCTGCCCCAGTGCAGCATTGATCTGAGCTTGAGCAGGGGGGCAAGACCCTCGACCCAGGACCCTGTGGGGTTGGTCCCAGCAGGAGCATTTGCACACCCCAGTCCCCATCTGCAGCCTGGGCTGTACCCCACATCCAGGTCCTCACTGAGCAAGACTTAAAACTCTCCACCTGCCACAGAAGCCTCTCATTTTTACGTTTCCACATAAGGAACTCACGTTAAGCACGTTACTTATAATTACCATGTTTGGTAACAGAAATCAGTTATGACGCTGATTAAATACACATGCAGTGTTGAACTTTGGGGTCACCGTGGCTCAAGACTGTTGTCTCTAGTGGGGTTCAGCTCAGTGGACTATGTAATAAATCATGAGCCTTTGGGCCTCACAGTAATATCAAGCATCAAGTCGATATAAAGTGTAGCCAGGGGCACGGGCCAGGCCCCATGGAAATCTCTTACCTAGCAGGGAGACCCCATGGGGATGGGCTTAATGTTTTAACATACCTGGAAGGGGAAATCCTCCTCTTCCTAACCTAGAATGACTCTGTGTAGCTGAGGCTGGAGGCCTGCCCTTTGCCATAGGCTAACACCTGCCAGAGTCTGCTAAAGCCTTCTGACACCGGGATCTGGGCTGCACAATTGATGGCAATGGGGGATTGCTCTCAGACTCTCCCTCTTGTTGGCTCCTTTGGCCTTTTGGCTGAAGGCAAGCAAGACTGCGGGCATCTGAACTCCAAGGCCTCTGGGCCTGGAGCTTGTCCATAGGACACCTGTCCAGATTTGGAGAATATCCAGAGCCCCAAGCCAATGGTCTGGGAGGGAGGAGACTTGCCCTGTGGTAGCTCCATGTAGGCTGGAGCGACTGAGCATTGGACTTTACCCAGTTGGACCAGGAGCAGATCTAGGTTTGAAATGAAATAGATCTATAAAGAGCTAGTCTGTGCTGCATGCAGCTTGGTCGCGGCCTCTCCCAACCAGCCTCGCACCTCTCCCTCCCACAGGCATCGAGGAGCCCCTGAACTTGCGCAAGCGGCGTCTGCTGAGCCCCGGCTTCATGTACAGTCCCTGGAAGTTTGCTTTCATGCGGCAGCACCGCATCGACATGAATTGGCGCAGTGGGGAGCTCAAGGCCCCCAAGGTGGGTTGGTGAGTGGCCCTGGCCCCTGCTCCGCTGCATCCCCTGCCAGGCTCCGTGCAGGTCTGCTGGACGCCTGGCTCTGCCCCTTCCCCCACAGCATCTCAGAGGCTGCAGGAGATCCAGCCTGTCGGCTGTCTGCCTCAGCCTCCTTACTCCCCCATGCTCCCAGTGGGGGCTGAAGCAAAGCCCCTAGCTCCAGGGGTCTCCTGGGCTGCCCCCTGGATTCCTGGCCATGTGTAATGCATCTGTCCCCCCTTGCAGGTCCTGAAGGGCCATGATGACCACGTCATTACCTGTCTGCAGTTCTGCGGCAACCGCATTGTCAGCGGTTCTGACGACAACACGCTCAAAGTCTGGTCGGCCATCACGGGGGAGGTGAGCCTGCCGCGCCAGGGGTCTACATGCTCCCGCAGCTGTTGAGCACCAAACTTGGCTACCTGCAAGACATGGCATGGGACGTGTTGCTGAATGTAACATGTCCGCATGAACCCAGGGGGCTAGGGGCTGTTGGACCTGAGGTCAAATGGGGCTGAGCGGGGCACAACGACCCCAGCAGACAAGTATAGGGACCTGCACCTGGGGAGGAAGAACCGGCAGCAGACCTACAGGCTGGGGAACTCCCTTCTTGCCAGCACAGAGGCAGAAAAGGATCTTGGAGGCACTGTTGATTCCAAGATGAACATGGGCCGAAAAGGGTACGCTGTCAGGGGGGCCAAACGCACCTTGTCATGCATCCACAGATGCATCTTGAGCAGGTCCAAGGAGGTGATCCTCCCCCTCTGTGCGACACTGGTCAGGCCACAGTTGGGAGTACTGCATCCAATTCTGGGCGCTGCACTTCAGGAGCGATGTGAACAGCATGGGTGGAGAGGGTCTGGAGGAGGGCCACAAGAGAAGGATGAGGGGGGATCTGGTGGCCATCTATAAACTTGCCAAGAGGGACCAGTAGGCAGTGGAAGAGTCCCTGTTCCCCCGAGCTCTAACAATGGCCATAATTTGACTGAGAGTAGATTCAGGCTAGGCATCAGGAGGCGCTACTTCACTGTCAGGGCAGCTAGGAGCTGGAACCAACTTCCAAGTGAAGTGGTGCTTGCCACTACCCTGAGGGTCTTCAGAAGGAGGCTAGACAGCCACCTAGCCAGGGCCGTGTGACCCCAGCACCCTTTCCTGCCCATGGCAGGGGGTCAGACTTGATGATCTGCTTAGGTCCCTTTAGACCCTACCAACTGTGAAGCTGGGATGAGGGTTAGGATCAGTTTGGGGGGAGAGCTGGGCCGTTTCCAGCTACCTGCAATGGGGCAGGGGTGTGGGAGCTCTGGGCAGCGGTGCTGGGGCATCTGGACCCATTGCCTGGCCGGTGCTGGGGGTCTTGCCCTCGCCCTGCCCTGCATCCGCTAATAGCTGGCTGTCCCACAGTGTGTGCAGACGCTGGTGGGCCACACCGGGGGCGTCTGGTCATCCCAGATGAGAGACAACATAGTCATCAGCGGCTCCACAGACCGGACGCTGAAGGTGTGGAATGCGGACACGGGCGAGTGCGTGCACACTCTCTACGGGCACACATCCACTGTGCGTTGTATGCATCTGCACGGCAACAGGTACTGGGGGGGACATCAGTGGGACCTGGGCAGGGCAGGGAGAGGGCACGGGGTGCTGAGCCCTGGCGGCACGTGTGTCCTGTGCAGGGTGGTGAGCGGGTCGCGGGACGCCACACTGCGCCTGTGGGACATCGAGACAGGCCAGTGCCTGCATGTGCTGATGGGGCACGTGGCGGCTGTGCGCTGCGTGCAGTACGACGGGCACAAGGTGGTCAGTGGCGCCTACGACTACACTGTCAAGGTCTGGGACCCCGAGAGCGAGAGCTGCACCCACACACTGCAGGGGCACACCAACCGCGTCTACTCCCTCCAGGTGAGATGCCCCCGCACTTAACCATGTCTGCTCCCCAGACCCTTCCCCTCGATGCTTGCCCTGGCAGAGCTGCAAGTGTATGAGCCCTGTTTGCACCCTGTGGGCAGCCCTCTGGCTCTGGCAAGGGACCCCACCCCCTGGGCAGCACCCATCCAGCTGGGCATGGCTGACCACGCTTCCCCCTGCACTGACAGTTTGACGGGACACACATCGTGAGCGGATCACTGGACACGTCAATCCGGGTGTGGGACGTGGAGAGTGGGAACTGCCTGCACACGCTGATGGGACACCAGTCGCTCACCAGTGGTATGGAGCTGCGTGACAACATCTTGGTGTCCGGCAATGCTGACTCCACCGTCAAGATCTGGGACATCAATACAGGGCAGTGCCTGCAGACGCTTCAGGGTGAGTACAGGGGTGTGAGAGTGGCAGGGCCGGGGCCTGGCTGGGGGACAGGGTAGGCTGGGGCCTGACAGCACGTCTTCTCCCAGGGCCCAGCAAGCACCAGAGCGCAGTGACCTGCCTGCAGTTCAGCTCCAAGTTTGTTGTGACCAGCTCTGATGATGGCACTGTCAAGCTGTGGGACCTCAAGACGGGCGAGTTTGTGCGCAACCTGGTGGCACTGGAGAGTGGGGGCAGTGGGGGCGTAGTATGGCGCATCCGTGCCTCCAGCACCAAGCTGGTGTGCGCCGTGGGCAGCCGCAACGGCACTGAGGAGACCAAGTTGCTGGTGCTGGACTTTGATGTGGACCTCAAGTGACCCACGCTGGTGGGGAGGTGCCAGCGGGCCGGGTGGACGCTGGTCTCTGCTGGGCAGGCCCTGGCACCGGCGCCACCCCTGCACCTACCCTGGCAGACTGTACAGACAGCGCAGCGCCTGCCTGGGCCTTATTTATATGTACGGGTGCCTGACGCCAGGCGGAGACTTGAGCACAGGAGGCAGCATGTTTTGTACACGAATATATTCTATTTCTGTAGCAGCCTGCGCAGGGTGTCTCAGGGCAGCAGGCTGACGATATGCAAGCGGTGCTGCGTGCACAGAGCGGGTGGCATGGCACAGGGCAGTTCCAGGTGCAGCACAGCCCGGTGGCTCTTCAGACATGTGGGCTGCTGGGCCAGCCCCACATAGATGGGGCAGCGGTGCCGAGGCAGGAAGGCGCCAGCCCCTGGCAACTGGCTCGCCTTGCGCAAGGCTTGCACCCATACGAGGGGCAGTGGGCAGGGCTGGGTGCTGTGCACGGCCTGAAGCCGGGCCATGTCCTTATTCCACCGTGCATTGCGCAGCTCCAGACCACCCAGCAGGAGCCCAGACCTGTGGCTGTGGCTGGGGTGTGAAACACTGGATTGTAGCACCTGAAAGAGTGGGGTGTGGGAGGTCAAGCAGGGTGGGTGCAGGGCCCAGCTGTCCCATCCCGTCCCCCCCCCGCCATCAAGGAAGGGCCAGGCTCTGACCTGAGGGCTGAGACAGAGCTGCTCCAGGCTCTGGTTCTCTGCCCGTGCGGTCTCCTGGAGCAGAGCCAGCAGCAGGCGCCGGGGGTGCTGGAAGGCGGCCAGGTGGTAGAGTGGGGCTGGCGGACCCGTGCCCGCCCCCAGGTAGCTGCACAGCAACTGCCCGCGGCTCCGCAGTGTCTCCAGCCAGGCGCCGGGGCGCTGGGGCCCAGTGGGCGTGTGGCACAGCCACACGTGGGGCAGGCGGTCGCGGCCCAGGGCCTGCAGCACTGTGGCACAGCGGGGGGCTGTGCAGAGCATCCCTTGCAGCTGCTGCTGCGTGCAGCGCAGGTCCACACCCACCTGGTGCAGCAGGGCCGCCAGGTTCCCAGCCTCGTCCAGCAGGAACCGCAGCAGGGGCCGAGGTGGTGGGCACTGAGGGCCACAGGGCCGGCATTGCTGCAGCGCCGCCTCCAGCTCCTGCACCATCTCCAGGCCCTGCTGCACCAGTGGCCCCAGTGACTCATGCTGCCTGGGCGGGGGCAGGCGTGGGTGCGGCAGCCACAGGGCCTGTGACCGCAGCAGGTCAGCGAGCAGGGCATGGCTGCGGCGCTCCAGCTCCTGCTCCTGCAGCCCATCTGGCAACCCGCACAGTGCCGGGGCAGCCGCACCCACAAGCTGCTGCATCTGTGCCTGGGGCTCTTCCGGCTGTGCCTCCGAGGAGCCGCCTGAGGCAGAGGAAGCGTTGGCCGGTGCCCCCTCCTGCCGCAGGACAGGACAGGAGGGAGCCCCTGGCCCAGTGGGTGCGAGGGCTCAGCCTTACCCAGGGCTGTGGGGCCGGCAAGGGCAGCGCAGAGGCTCTGGACCCCACGGGCGGCTGGCAAGTGGGGGTCTTGGCTCAGGCACTGCTGGCTCAGGGTCTGCACGACTGCTGCGTCCCCTGCATCCAGGATGTGGCCCCCATAGAAAATAGAGCCTGCAGGGAGGGGAGGAAAGGACTCAGCACCTCCACCTGGCTTGGCTCAGCCAGCCTGGGACTCGGCACCCTACCTGGCCAGGCAGGCAGCTCAGGCACCTGCCCAGACCCCTGGGCCCCAGGGTGGCATAATCCTTACCCACCTGCCAGCTCTTGCAGGGCCTCCTCCGGGTTGGACACCACCTGCGAAAGCCGCTCCTGTGCCCGCAGCCCGGCAAACAGCTCAGCCTCAGTCCTGGGGAGATGGTAGGGCTGAGATGTGCCCATGGGCACGAGGGCAGTGGGGACGCAGGGGCCAAGCCAGGCTGTGGGCACTCACCAGAGGTAGTGGGCAGCCTGGGCCCTGTGCCCGTAGTGCTGGCGGTGCAGGAGGGCGGCATGCAGGGCCAGCAGTGGCAGCCCCCGCTCGGGCTGCACCCGCCAGGCCTGCTGGTCCTGGGCCAGGCTGTAGATGCGCAGCAGGGCACCTGGCAGGTCCATTGGTGTCTCGCAGCACACGGTCACCATGCTCTGGCGCAGGGGCCCTGGGGGGCCGGGAAGTGCTCAGCCCTGCCTGGGGCCACCCAGGGTGCAGTGTGCTGCTCCTGTTCTACCCCATAACTGCTTGCTCCACATAGGGGAAGCTCGGCTCCAGGCATGGCCTGTTTCCAGCAGGACCCCAGCCTGCCCGGACCCAACAGTCCAGCGAAGCTGGCGGGGAGGCGGGTGCAGAAGGGGTCCCCAGCTGGCTGTAGGGGAACCTGGGGCGTGAAGCCATGGTAGGGCAGCGCACCTGGCAGGGGGCATGGGAGCCGGGCGTCCGCGATGAGCCAGAGGCGGAACTTGGGGTGGAGCTTTTTCCCTTTTGTGGCGGCTGCCGCTGGCTTCGCAGGATCTGCAACAACAAGGGCAGGGCTGGGGTGCAGCCAGCAGCACCCCACACCCCTCCCAGCCCTTGCGGTGGGCCCAGGTGACGCACCCTGGGAGACACCCAGCAGCCGTTGCAGCGGCACCAGCATGTCAGGTGGCCAGTGTGTCTGCAGGTGGCAGTTGTCCAGCACCAGCCAGTGCCCCCTCCTTGCACAGGTGCCCAGGGCCTCGCTCATGCGTTGCAGGCAGTTGGGTGCCCCCAGCGTGACGACCATGACCTTCCCCTGTAGAGAGCGGAGAGGTGTCACCCAGAGCTGCGCCCACCGAGCTCCCCAGGCTGTCCCTTGCCTGCCGTGCCGACCTCACGGTGCTGCTGCCGGGCCATCTGCTGGATCCAGTGCAGCGGGTGGGTGGTGGCGGCTGCGGCACCGGGTAGTGGTGTGAGGAAGAGGATGGGCACATGGCTCTGGCTGTGGTCATACAGGGCGGCAGCACTGTGTGCAGCCGCCTCGGCCATGGGGCGCCCCATCAGGCAGGCAGCCAGGTCGGCAGCCACGCTGCAGAGCTGGCCTGGGCGCAGCACGCGCCACAGCAGGGCACGCTGGAAGGGTCCAAGGCCAGCGTGGCCTGGGCCTGGCGCAGGGCCCACCATGGTGCAGGGCAGATGCAGGTACTCCTGCCACATTGCCGCCTTGCCTGCCAGTGCCGCCTGCAGCCCCTGGAAGCCAGGCAGTGCCTCCAGTCGCCCGCACTCCTCCCAGGCCTTGGCGTCCACCCCGGGTGGGCATGGTGGGGCGCCAGGCGGCAGGGGCAGCAGCCGAGCAGCAGTGGGCGCCTGCAGGCCCTGGCAGAAGGCCAGCCAGGCCAGTGGGGAGACGTGGCCGTCAAGGCGCTGCAGGGCCACAGCACCCAGCAGGGCCAGCAGCAGCTCGTGGCGCTCCCACAGGCCAGGCTGGGCGTAGGTCAGCAGCGCCTGTGCCAGGGCCCTGCGCAGCTCCATCACCCGGGCCTCCAGTGCCTCCTGCTGCCTGGCGCCCCCCCACCTGGTCACCAGCAGGCCACGGTGGGCAGCAGCCAGGCTGGCGGTGGCCCTGCAGCAGTAGAGCGGATGCAGGCGGCAGACCTGGTGCAGGGCTTGGTGCAGCGCGGCACCCAGGCGTGCAACCGGCCGGTACTGCTCACGTATCGCGCAGTGGCCCTGGCGCAGGGAGCACAGGTGTTCGTGGCTGGAGCGCAGCGTCTCCACCTGCGTGTCCAGCAGGTGCACCATGGGGAGGAACGCCTCCGTCTCCAGCAGTGCCTGCTCCGGCGCCGAGATCAGCTGTATCAGCTCCTCCTGCAATGGGTCAGGAGGCTAAAGGCTCAGCCACCACGGCCAGGGCCAAGGGCAGGCCAGGGGGTGAGGGTTCCTGATAGCCAGGGCATGGGGGAGCTGCAGCCCTGGTGCAGGCCCGTGCTCACCTCGGCGCATGCCAGCTCGTCCTCCACCTGCAGGATGCTGAGCTCCAGTCGGCGCCAGTGGCTCTGGGCCTCATGGCGTTCAACCAGCAGCAGCTCCTCCAGTAGCAGCTCTTCCAGTGCCCCCTCACCCAGGCTCAGGTCCACCACATTCAGGCTGGGCAGTAGGGCCTGCTCCATCTCTGTGGGCACAGCATAGGGCAGGGCCTCAGGGCCGGGGCTGCCAGCCCACGTGCACACACGCGCACGTGCACATCTGCGCTGCCTGGGGAGGGGCGGCAGCTGCACCAGGAGCGCTGCCCTTGCGCCCACCCTGGTAGTGACAAACACAGAGGCCTGTGGCTCAGCCTTCCTGCAGCCCCACGCAGCCCAGCGCAAGGGGGTGGCAGGAAGCCAGGGCTTGGCTGGAGCAAGGGCTGAGACGAAGCCACATCCTCCAGGGTAGCCATGGGCCCTGAAAGCAGAGACGGAGAACAGACGGCGTAAAGGCGATGCGGCCAAGGGTTGGAGGAGCCTAGACAAAGTGTGGCCAGCGCACAAGGCACTGCAACAAGCAAGATCAGCTCCTAAAACGAGTTGCGCCCAGCCTGCGTGGTGGCAGATGGCCAACGAGGTTTTGGGCTGCATCAACAGAAGCATCAGGTCCAAGATGTGGGAGGTGACAGTACCAGTCTATCTGGTGCTGGTGTGGCCTTATCTGGATACTGGGTGCAGTTCTAGGCTCCGCATTTTAAAAAGGACGTGGAAAAGCGAGAGGGTCCAGAGGTGACTACAAGGATGATGAAGGGCTCGGAAGACAAGACCTACGTGGAGAGGTGGAAGGAACTGGGCAAGTTCAGCTGGGAGAAAAGGCGCTGAAGAGGGGACATGGCAGCAGCCTGCAAGTACCTGTAGAGCTGTGTGACGGAGCAGCTTTAGCGCTCCACCACTTCAGGGGTGCAGCAGCCAGCCGCCAGGTGTCCAACAAGGGTGGCCGTTTTGGAGAGCTCTGTTGTAAGAGTAGAGCAGTTTGTGTTCAGTGGCCCTGGGAGTAACATTGCCCAGCACAGCTCCTGCTTCAGGAATATCTTGGAGGTAAAGACGAGGCTATGGGGAAGGAGGAAGCCTCATTAGTCCTGGACATGACCTGAAACTGTACCCTGCTGGGATAGGCAGGACCACCAGGCCTCCCTATGGTGGGGCAGGGCCACTTAAATGCCAGGTTCAAGAACCAAACTCCTGTAAGACTGTTTCAGGCTGGACATAAGGAAAAAACTTCTTTACTGTCTTGAGCCCCCAAGGCCTGGAACAAACTCCTCTCAGAGGTGGTGCAAGTACCTAGCCTGGGCACTTTCAAGAAACGTTTGGACATTTATCTTGCTGGGATCCTTTGACCCTTGCTGACTTTCTGCCCCTTGGGCACGGGGCTGGACCTGATGTTCTTACGGGGTCCCTTCCAGCTCTAATGTCTATGAAATCTATGAAACCATTCTGGTGTAAGGTGGGTCGGGGTGCCCAAACCCCTGTCCCCACCTTTGGGTGGGCTTTGGAGGCAATTCAGGGCCGGGCACGCAGAGTAACTGCACCTGAACCCTGTGGGGTTGGTAGGCCCTGGAGGTGGGCCAGGCCCAGCAGGAGAGCGCTACCTGAGCCTGTGGAGGTGTTCTACCTCGAGCCCTGGGAAGAGGGCAGAGTGGTGGACCAGGCAGGCAAGTAGAGCGCCACCTGAGCCTACGGGGGTGGTCGACCCCAAGCCTGAATGGCTGGGCAGAGTAGTATGGCAGGCAGCTAATAAGGCCTGATGTGTGCCACCCAACTGGAGGCTGGGGGCTAGGCCGAATATGGAAGGCCCAGTGTCTGCACTACAGGGGAGGCCAGGTGCTAGGCCTAGAAATATCTGCAAGGCATGGGACATGGGTAGGGATGGTTGAAGCGTGCACATCAGGGCGGATTGAAGGGCAGCCTCCTGCCTATTAACATCAGAACAATAGGACATCAAGGCATGGCAGGCAAAAGAAGCAAGCAGTTGGCCCAAGGACAAAGGAGCGGGCTGGTCTCTCAGCAGAGCGGTGAGTTGGCTCCTTTTGTCACAAGCTGCCACAGAGAAGATGGAAAGCAGCCACTCACTCTTGTTGCAGACTAATGGCTTGAGGTTACAGTAAAGCAGGTGTGAATTAGATCTCAGGAAAAGCTTCTCTGTCAGGGCAGCAAGACTGGGACAGACGCCAGGGAAGCGGGGTCTAGCAGAGGCTGGGCAGAGATGACCGAGGAGCAGTGCTGCTTGCAGAGTGCTGGGCAGGGTCATGCCCCTTGGCTGGGGCAGTGAGCCGTGTAGTGCAGCAGCGTTCCCTGTGTCATCGCGCCAAGGGGGTGGCAACGGGTTTGTCTGGGGAGGTTTGGATGGGGATTTTCACCTCAGGCCAGGACTGGACCGAACCTCCAGGAGCCCTCACCCCCTGGCTTCCCCATGGTTCTGTGTGTGAGGGTGCACTTTGCAAATTTGGGGTTGACACCAGGTTGGTTGGAGTTGCAGACACTCTGGAGGGTGGGGTGGGGAGTCCAGTGACCCAGATGGACTGGAGATGTGGGCCACAAGCAACCAGGTGAGACTGCACAAGGACAAGTGCAACGTCTGGCACTGGGGCAGGACCACCGCCTGCACAGAGACAGTCTGGGAATGACCAGCCAGGTTGCAGAGCACAGCCTGGGAGGTCTGGTGGGCCAAAAGCTGCATGAGCCACCAGAGTCGATTCAGTCAGCACCATTGTCCTTTACAGAGTGCCGTGTATGCGCCAGTCAGTTCTCTGATGGCTGCCGACTCCAACACGCAAGTGACTGTCCTGTCCATAGGTAGCACACAGCCGTGCACCAGGAAATTCTTTCCTGCTCTGATGCTAGTCGTCACAAACCTTTATTCCAGTCCCTTGCAGTCCCTCGCTCCATCTGCCAGCTGACTCCGCCAGCCAGAGCGGCATTCTGCACTCCTTTCCCAATCACTCACAGAGATGCCACAGGATGCCCAGTCGTCTTTGCCAGCATCCCAAAACCTGCACAGTGTCTGCCTCTCTTCCTAGACCCTTCACAAGCCTCAAAGGACAGCCCAGTCTTCAGGATCCAGCATTTGCTTGACTTGACCAAGCTACCTGAGTCTTTTCTTACTAATCCACATTCCCATGGATGACAAACCATGTGATTCAATGCATCCACATTTGTCACCCTGTCTTGCCATCTTATTTGAAGAATTTTACGCAGGCATCAGATATGAAAGTTGTTTAGTCTTTTGGTATGTTTGGCATAGGTCCTCTACATTTCTGAACCGTGTAGAAGAGTGGAGAAAACACACATCTCATAAATACAGATTTTCACTTTAGTTGACAGTTTCGGTTCCAGGGTCTGTGTTGCAAAAGATCAAAGTTCCTGGCTGCTTTGCTGATCCTACTAGCGAGCAAGATCTACAGTGCTGGTAAGAGCAGAGCCAAGGAGCAAAACTGGTCAATGACATCCAGACAAGTACCAGCTAGGGTGATATCTGGAACTGGCTCTGAAGAACCTGAGTGCATGACAACAGTCTCCTTCAAGTTTATTGCTAGCCCAAAGGTTTTGCACAAATCAGAGGACTTGGCAATGAGATGTTGTAGGGCATCAGCACTGTGAGCCATAAGGGCTGCATCATCTGCAAACAACGGGTCCCTTAGGATGATCTCCTTCACCTTTTGTCTTGGCTCTGCCACTTGCCGTGTTAAACAGTCCTCTGTCGTGTCTAGTGCAGAGACAGACGCCCTCTCAAGCATCACAGAACGCATGTTGGAGCAGGAACGAGAAGCCCTGCTTCACGCTGTTGTTGATGTTGAATGGGTCAGACTCTTGGTTTTTATACATTACTCTTGCCTTCATGCCGTCACATCAGGATTTCACAAGGTTTAGCAGTACAGGTGGACAACCAAGTGTCTTCAGAACAGAGTAAAGCCCTAACCAACTAACCATGTCAAAGGCTGCTTGTGTTCAATCTATAAACCCCTCATACAGTGGGATATACTTCTCCCTGCACTTCTCCTGCAGTTGTCTTATAGAGAAGACCATATCTATGGTGGACCTTCCCAACTGGAAGCCACACTGGTTCTCAGGATAGATTCTCTCAGCTAATGGTTGAGGTCTCAGCAAGAGAATACAGCTTAAGATTTTCCCCATGATACTGAGAACAGAGAATCCTCTAGCGTTATTACAGTCACTTCTGTCTCCTTGGCTTTTATAGAGTTGGATGAAGCGAGTGTCCTCAAAATCTTGTGGAGCAGTTCCTTCCTTCCAGCAGAGCAGCAGGACCTTGGGCAACCTCTGCAGCAGGTCGCTTTGTTTGCGCATCTGTAAATCCCAGCAGGTAAACGGTCAGGTCCCTAAGCTTTGTTACCAGGACGCTTTTGGATGCATTGCTCAAGTTCCTTCAGCATAGGTTTGGCATCCAGCGAAGTAATCATTTCAAACCCAGGCAATTGGTCCAGCACACGTCGGCCAACTACAGACTCCCTTGAGTCTATCATTCCACATTGCTCAATCCACCTCTCCAGCTGCTTCCCCTTATCAGTCATATTACCCTCCAAGTCTCCCAATGAAGTTGTCCTGTATTTTGTCAGTCCAATGGCCTTTCTAACACCCTCATGCAACTGTCTACTGTTGCCTGTGTCAGCCGCCTGTTGGGTGCTGTCACAGAGACCCATCCAAAATTTCTGAGCACACCTCCTGGAAGCTGCTTGAACAGCCTTAGGAGCTTCTCTTAGGTTGCTGAGTGGGTCAGTAGTAGAAGTAGACTTGTGGGTGACTAAGGCCGCTCTTTTCCTCTCAGTGGGTGGCAGCGGTCCCTCCGAGTGGTCTACAAACCAGTCGACGTTTTTCTTAGTATTCTTTCCAAAACTCTTGGTTGCCACATTGTGCACATTGTCTGCAGGACCTCCCATGCATCTATCTGGTGCAGTCTCGTTCGTTCCCGCTGACTTGGCTACTTCTTCATCGAAAAGTCATTTCTTGACAGGATCATTGATTTGGCACAAGTCAACGCGAGCTTGTCTGGCAGGTTTATTGCGGTGGATCTTCTTAGCTTGAAATTTCACTTTGCAGCAGACAAGGGAGTGGTCTGTGTCACAGGCAGCGTTTGGAAAGGATCGTGCATACAGGATCTTTCACGTTGTACACCTCCTGTCGGTACCAAGTCTGGCTGATGCAGTCAGGGTGTCTCCACAATGTTCTTCTTCTGGTGTTACCAGCAACGAAGGTGTTGGTCACTGATAAGCCTGGACTGGCACACAACAAAAGAAGTCTCTGACCATTGTCGCTCATACGCCCAATGCCATGCCTATCCAGGATCCTGGGCCAAGTCTCAGCATTGTACCCAACTCTTGCATTGAAGTCTCCAAGTACTAGGATGTGCTCCTTCTGTGGGACCCTGCCGATCAGTTCTTCCAGCTGTTGATAGAAGCTGTCCTTTCTCCTCGTCACTAGCCGGCAGAGTTGGAGTGTGGACACCGACAAGGTCGATGAATCCCTGCTGCAGCCTAACACGCAGTGTCGTGCTACGTGTGGATACTGCAGTCGGGGCTGAACGGCGCAAGGTCCTTTCTGCTCTCTCCATCCTCCTTCAGGTTTGCCCTGGCAGTAAATGCTGTAGTCCTCCTTTATGACGCCTGTGTCTCGGAGCCAAGTTCCCAAAAGAGCTGCCATATCCATTCTGAAACGCGCAAGCTCGTTACTCGACGCAGCCGTTTTCCTCAGGTCCGAACCCAGATCAAAGTCATGCCCAGGGCTCAAAGTCCAAATACTCCAGCAAGTGATTCTGTTTAGAAAACCAGTTCAGCCAGGGGGTAAGCAGTGAGGCAGGGCTTGTTTGACCCACCTTTTCTAGGGCCGCCCTCATGCGAGGCCAGCAGGCCGGAGGGCCTCAACGGCGCTGCTTGGAAATCTGGGCAAGCTGCCTCAAGGCCATTATGCCTCTCTTAGATCCCTGCAACCAGGTCTGGGCCCCACACTTCAAGGACGTGAACAGGCTGAACACATCCCAGCACAGGGCAGCAAATGCGATCGAGGGTCTGGGAGGCAGGAGCGAGGACAGATGGAAGAGCTGGGGTGACCGAGTCTGGAGAAGACACAGACGGGCAGATACAAACCTGATGACCTTCATCGTAGAGAAATGCAAGGTGCTCCACCTCGGGAGGAAAAACCCACATCGTGCCTATAGGCTCGGCAGCGCTTCACCCACTAGCACTACATCTGAAAGAGACTCTGGGCTCCACACTTTACAAGCACGTGGAGAAGCTCACGAGTGCAGAGGAGAGCCACGTGCATGGTAAGAAGTCAAGACAGCAGGCCTTACGAGGAGGCTGAGGCGCACGGGACTCTTCAGCTTGGAAAAGCGCAGGCTCAGGGGGGACCTGGTGGCAGCCTATAAGCGTATCAGGGGTGTGCATAAGGACCTGGGAGAACATCTGTTCACCAGGGCTCCCCTCGGGACGACAAGGTCCAGTGGTCACCAACTGCTGGAAGACAGTTTTGGACTGGACGTAAGGAAGAACTTTACTGTCCGAGTCTCCAGAGTCTGGAACAGACTCCCCCCCACAAGTGGTGCAAGCAACTACTCTGGACACGTTCAAGATGCGTGGGGGTGATTATCCTGTTGCGGTCCTCTGACCCCAGCTGACTTCCTGCCCTTGGGCGGGGGCTGGACCAGATGATCTCGCGAGGTCCCTTCCAGCCCCAATGTCTATGAAATCTATGAGAAGAGAGGCCTGAGGGGGATGTGATCACAGGCTGCACATCCCCGATGGGCGATGACAGAGGCTGGAGACGGGCTTTTCTCTGTGGTGGCAGGGGACAGGACTAGGAGCAATGACCATCAGCTGCAGCTGGGGATTTAAGGCTGGGGATGAGGAGGAACGCCCTGACTATGGCGCGGCGCAGCACTGGCGCAGGCTGCCCAGGGAGGGGAATGGCGTCTGTACCCCCAGGGCGTTTAAGGGCAGGCTGGACAGACACCTGGCTGGGAGGGTTCAGGCAGACCCGGTGCAGCAGGGCTGGGCTGGATATGACCCCCAAGGGTCCTGCCAACCTGACTGGTGGGTGCCCCAGGGCCCGAGGGGCAGGCACATGGCACAGACCTCTTGCACCTGGGCCAAGTGCTGGGGTGGTGACACGCAGGACAAGCCGTGTCCCTGCAGAGCCCGTGGGTCCAGGGCACACGAGGCACCATGTAGCACCACCGTGACACAGGCAGGTGTGACTGTGGACACGCACAGTGCCACATGGCCAGCAGGGACAGGGAGGGGTCAACGCTGGCACATGCAGCCCCAGGCGGGGACCGGGCAGGAGCAGGGGTGGGATGGCTCCCTGCACATCGCGCTGGGGCAGCAGGGTGGGGAGCCCGGCTGGGCAGGGCAGCCGGCTGCCCTGAAGCCAAGCAGGTGGCTCGGGCGCTGGCTCCAGGCCGTTGTGGGGGGGGGGGAGGCCAGAGCCCTCACCTTGGCCCAGGGTGTGCAGGGGCAGGCTGGTGCTGAGGTAGAGGCGGAAGGAGGGCAGCGTCTGCACGGCCTTGCCTGGTGCCGGCTCCGTGCCTGCGCCCGCCTCCTTCTGCAGCAGGCACCGGAGGATGGGGCTGCCTGGGCTCTTCTCTGCGTGCAGCAGCAGGACGGGCAGACCTGGGGAGAGGCTTGGCGTCACCCCAGGCACCACCTGCACCCCTGCCTGTGCCCAGGGGTCCACTCAGCCTCACCGCTGCCGGCAGCTGCCCGGAGACTCTCCTCCAGACCGGGGTCCATCGCTGACAGCACCTGCAGCGTCTGCTCCGGGGGTGCGGCAGCACTGCTGGGCTCCGTGGTTTCTGGCCGCATGTCCGGGTTGGCGCAGGCCTCATCTGCAAGGCAGCAGAGACCTGCTTGGAGCCCCAGCCCAGGTCCCGGGACCATGCATGCAGGAGTGGGGTTGCAGCTGTGTTGGGGAGGACAAGGGGTCTGGCTGGGACTCTCAAGACCCTACACCAGCCCCCCCAGGCCAAGCCACGCCCACTGCAGGGCCTGCCTTGACTCACCGTCCTTGGCCCGGGGAACGGAGCTGAGCCAGGTGAGGGCCTGCTGGTCGGGGTCGAGCAGCAGAGGCCAGCGGCGGGGGCAGATACGGGCAGCGGCATGGAGGAGCGCAGCGGCCTGGCGCGAGGCCGGGTCCCGCGACTTGCGGTCGCGGTCCCAGGCGTGCTGCTCGCGCTCGCAGCTCAGCAGGGCCAGCAGGCTGAAGCCGGGGTGCACGGGCAGCAGCGGGGGGCCGGAGGCGGTGGGCGCGGGGCCGGGGCAGGGCAGCTCCTGCTCCAGCGCCCGACGCACGTCGTCCGGGCCCAATGGCACTCGGCGCCCGGCCAGGAGGTCCTGCCACTTCTCCAGCAGCTCCTGGCGCCGCGGTGGGGGGAAGGCGCCCAGGTAGCAGACGGCGGCTGCGCACAGCAGTGCATCCCCCTGCACTGTGCTGCACATCTGCTCCAGGGCCTGTGGGGCGCGGGTGTCAGGACGGAGCCCGCCCCTCCCTGAAGTGTCAGCCCCGCCGGACCCAGCCCAGCCTGCCCCCGCACCTGGGTGGCCTCCTGCCAGCGTGCCACGTGCGCAGCCATAGTGCAGCCAACGGAGTCGCCCTCAGCCTGGTCCTGCTGGGCACAGCGCAGCTGCTGGGCCAGGGCCTCCTGCTGCTCCAGCACCTCCTCCAGCTTCAGAGCCCAGGCGGCGCTGCGCTCCCGCAGCCGCTCAGCCTGCAGGCGCCGGGTGCTCAGCTGCTCCTCTTCCTCGCGTATCTGCTGCTCGCAGCGGGCCAGCTGCTGCAGCACAGGCTGCCAGGCACGCTGGGCCTGGCCGTACCGCTGCACCGCGCACATCCACTGGCCCAGGGCCGCGGCCGCCCGGCTGGCGCTGCGCAGCACGGGGCCCAGGAAGGCGGCGTCGGCCGCAGCATGGCCCAGTGCCACCTGCACCTCCTCCGACAGCTCGTCCTTGGGGTAGAACAGCAGCTCCTGCGGCAGAGATGGGGAGCGGGGGTGGGGTCACCAGGGTGCTGGCTGGGCGAGCTCGGCCCCGCTAGGACCCCGCGCACGCTCAGCCTGGCCCCGTGGCTCACTTGGTAAAAGTCCGGGCGTCCCAGCAGCTGGCGGGCACTGTCCCAGCCGGGCGTCTGCTGGAACATGCGGCACAGGAGGTCGGTCACCCGCACCACGGGCACTGGGGGCCGCCGGTAGCTGCGCAGCTCCTCCACATCGCCCACATGCAGCCGTGCCAGCGCCGCCTCATAGTCCGCACCCATCTGGGGGGGAGCAGGGCATTATGGGGGGGGTCCCAAACCTTGATGATGGAGCACTGCACCCCAATGGGGCGTGCTGGGGGTCAGGGTATATTGCAGAGGTCCCCTTATCTGATGGGGGTCCTGGCAGCCTTGCAGGGGGGGCCCACACCCCGAGGGGGAGGGCGAGGGGGTTGCGGTCATCGCAGAGGTCACCTTTTCCAAGGCCTCCTCCTGAGCCTGCTCCAACCGGCTGTGCTCCGCAGCCAGGTCCTCGAGCCGTGCCTGGCGCTGCTCGCAGTCCTGCTCCTGCTGCCGCCGCACTGCCTCCTCCTGCTCTGCCCTGTGCCGGCACCGCACCACTTTCTGGGGGGGGTTGGAAGTGGGGGTCAGGCATGCCCAGCCCCATGCTCAGCCCCCGGCAGCCCCATGCATATGAGCGCAGACGGCCCCCCCCCCAGACCCTGCACCTCCTTGGCCTTGCGCAGCTTTTCCTGCAGCATGCGGACGTCCTGGCCACGCGCCTGCTGCCTCTCGCTCACCTCCTGCAGCTTGTCCAGGACGGCCCGCAGCCTGCGGGCATGGGGGCAGGGCAGGGCAGGGCGTTGGCTCATGCAGGCGCCTTGCTGGGCTGCTGCCCCGTCCTCCCCCCCAGACACCTCCCGCAAGGGCGTCCGTGGGGCAGGACGGGAGATGCCTACTGGAGCCTCAGCTCCCCCTACCACGTGCACCGGGGGAAGG